GGTCGTGGCCATCCCTAGCCCTAGCATCTAGCCTAGCTTGCTCGGCTTGGCTGGTGAAAGGGGACCATGATGCCTAAGAGGGGGTGAATTAGGCAACTTAAAAGTCTAACTCTAAACTATGACCTCCTTTTCTATTCTTAACAAAACCTATACAAAAGATAAACTATCTAAATGTGCAACTATGGTTTTGCTAGTGTGTTGCTATCTCTACCACAAAAGGAGTTATGCAAACAATGTAAATGCGGAAGCTAAAGAGAAAGGTAGAGATATGCAAACTCCCATCGACGACTCTGATATTTTTACTGAGGTATCAAGAAGCGCGCAAGCTTCCCCCAATCCTCGTTGGAGCCTCTAGCAAGGAATCCCTCGCAAGGGCCAAGCTCCCAGTCGGGTGACTCCGTGGATAGCACCAGGCCTTCCCCACGCGCAAGTGGGTCTCCGGTGTGCCTTCTGGCAAGCCTCTCCTAGACCGCTCCTCGTCGTCTTTACTATCAAGCTTTCGGCCGAACCACCGTGGGCCTTGTTCCCTTTGGTACACGGTGGTGGCCACACCACAAACGCGGTTGATGTGATCTCGCAAGACTATAAGCCCCTCCAATATACAACAATGGTGCGCGCAATCACCAAGTGATAAGAGGTGTGCAAACCTCACTAAACACTAGGCCTAAACCTAGAGCAAGCGCATAAGCAATGGTCTAATCAACCTAAGCACTTTACAAAGCACCTACGCTAATCACCTAATGAATCACTAAGCACTATGCAAGTGGAGATCACTAAAATGGTGTATTAACACCCATGGTATGTTTCCTCAGCTCCACTCTACTCAAATGGCTGGTTGAGGGTCTATTTATAAGCCCTACTGAGAAAGTAGCCATTGGGGACAAAACCCACCTTTTTGCTACTGACCGGACGCGGATCATATCCTGACCGGATGCCTCCGGTCGTCCCGACCGTTGAGCGCGCGCGCTGATCGAACTGTCTGAGTCCGGTCGTCATCGACCAGATGCATTCGGTCGCGCTGGCGCCGCTCTAGAACCTCTCTGCAAATGATTGGATGCTGCACTTTGTGCTTCCGGTCATCCAGTGCCGCTGCGTCCGATCACGCTGAAAACATTGCCATGATGATGAACAGTGTCACCAGTGCTTCCGGTCACTGCTTCGCTCAGCGTTTGGTCACTGCTACTCAGTGTCCGGTCACACCGCCGATGCCTGGTGTTGCCGAGCAACTGATCAGACGCGTTCGGTCCTTATTAGAGCCCCGTCCGGTCACCTCTGCCGAGCTCATTTCTTTGCGATCTTGCGTCCGGCTTGGTTCCCATCTTCATGATTAGACTTTGCTTGATATCTTGGGTCTTCTCTTGTGCTTCTAGGGTCTTGCTTATGGTGTTGATCGTGGGATCATCATGTCGCCTTCGTCCTAGTCATATCTTGCATCCTATTAAACTATAAAATAATTACTTGCAAATTCATTAGTCCAATTTGGTTGTGTTGGTCATCAAACACCAAAATCCAAAGTAAATAGGCCTAGGGTCCATTTTCCTTACAATCTCTCTCTTTTTGTTGATTGATGACAACATGACCAAAACAAGCAAATAATAAAAAATTTGGAATTTTAAAACTATTTACTTGCTAGGATGCAATGCAAAGGGCAAGGTTGTAAGATGCTAAGAGATACCACATGTAAACATCTTTGGAAACTTATCTTGTCCTTGCAAATGTCCTCATGTGGCATTATAGATTTAAGCCTCCCCCTAACTCCATAATCCACTATCCTCCTTTTCTCGGACCATTACCACTTGTAAATTATTATGATCGGGCTTATTTTTGGTCCTACAAATTCTCCCCCTTTGGAATCAAACACCAAAAAGGAAGACATTAGTAGCACAAGAGAGGGTCAAACTTTGTGATCCTTTGTATGTGGAGTGGAATAGGTCACAAAATTTGACTCTCACATTACATAGACTAAGCTCCCCCCTAAATATATACATACATATGATGAAGAATGTAGTTTATGCATAATTGGCAAATTAATGCTCAAAGGAGTTTAATCTATATAATGCATGGAGAAAGCATAGAAATGCCAAAGTGAAATCAACATGATGATATCGGTTAAGAAATACCACATGTAGAAACCAATTTGATTTATACCACTTACAATAGGTGATGGATATTTGAAGTATGATGCTTAACTCTTGGGACTCCATTTTCCTTGCAATGAGACTACTACACACATGATAAGCTTGAAAAGGTGTTAGTCTCAAGGCATGCACATTGATTTTAGAATAAAAAATACCACTTGAAAGATGACATCACATGAATGTGAGAATCATTTTTTAAGTAATATTCGGGAGAAATTATCTACAATTTGGACTTTGGCACATATTAGATGAACAATTATAAAACAAGCTATGTGTCATGCTCCTAAACAATTTAAACCATGTAGGTTTTCTCTAAGGGTTAGGAGTGAAACCGAGCAAGCCTACCATAAGATATACCTAGTGTATGCATGACAAAAGATATAAGCATGTAAATACAAACCTAGACATGAAAAGGAACTAGATGCTAATTGAAATTGCAATAAATTAAATCTAGTTACCTAACATGGGGAGGGGAATTTGGGTCCATAGTATTCACTAACCCACTTGGCAATTACCTTGTTCATTATGATGCACCCCATGAAATGCGCCCATACTTTGCCAAGTCTCTAAATTCTCCGAAGTCCATCGGACTTCTCACTTCTCTTTCGGGATCCAAACCTTTTTGGTGCTTTTCATATTGGAAATTATCTCCTTTGGCACCCAAATGTGTTTGGCCCCATTGTTGGCTTGCTTGTTCACCTTGATGGCCACCACCTTGTCATTTTTCTTCTTCAAGAGAGATAAGGTGTGGATGCCTTTTTGTCCACCTTGTTGGTGTAGGTGTTGGAGAGCTTGCTTGTTTCCTTTTTGTTTTTCTCTTTCTTCTTAGCTCCTCCCTCATTCTTCACCTTGCACTCATAGGACTTGTGGCTTGTGGCATACGTACCAAACCACGGTTTGTCCTTCATCAAGCTTCTTCACTCCCTTGACGGTGTTATCTTGATGAAGTTGGGCTTGCTCCATTTTGCCACTTACTTGAGTCAAGTCCTTGGTAAGGCGAGCCACTTCTTGCTTGAGTTGCTCATTCTCTATTGCAACCTCTTGTGTGCATGTATCTACAATAACTTTCTCAACACAAACTTGGTTGCACAAGGGTGAATCTAAACATAAATTATTGCAAGAAGTAGAGGCATTCTTTTTAGGCATGTCAAAGATAGAACTATTCTTTTTAGGTGCCTCCGTGGGGGTAGAACCGATGAATTCAAGATTAACAACTTTATTAGTTAGCTCATCATAATGTGTGCACATAGTTTCCATTTTAGCAAGCAAACTTTTATAAGCATCTTGTGAGTTAGCTAACTTTTTCTTTATTTTTTTATTTTTCTTTACAAGTTGCTCATCATTGATTGTGCAATTATTTGTGCTTGCACTAGTCTCAAGTTGCTCAAGTTTAGTAGATAGCTCCATATTAATATTGGCAAAAGTTTCATATTGTTCAAGCAAAGTAGCATAAGCTTATTGTGAGCTATCTAGTTTTTCTTTTAATTTTTTAAGCTTCTTTTGTTGATTAGTGCAAACTTTAGTAAAATTAATATTTTCTTGCACAATTTCATCATAAGAAGGTAGCTCATCATCACTATCACTATCATTGTCACTATCACTAGGGATAGGCTTTTTGTTACCTCGTGCCATAAGGCACATACATGAAGTGCTTGATGATGAGTGCTTGTGCCCGCGCCTCTTGTGGTGGTCTTCTTCTTCACTTGAAGAATCATCCCATGACCTTATTGATGTGAGGGCTTTGTCCTTGCACGTCTTCTTCTTTGTCTTGGGTGTGGGTTTGTTTGGACAAACTTCCACAAAGTGTCCTAACTCACCGCATCCATAGCATCCATTCTTTCTTTGCCCATTTCTTTGATTGGTGAAGATGAAATCTTGAATTTGAATGGGCACACCCTTGACATTGAGCCTTTGGATCATCTTCTCCACCTTATTGATAACTTTGATTGATTCTTCATCAAGGTTGAAGGTGGAGGAGGAAGATCGATCATCATCACTTGAATCTTCATCATCATCTTCATCATCATCCTCATCTTCTTCTTTATCTTCACTTGAGGAGCTTGAGCTTGAGCTTGTCCCAACTTGCTTGCCCTTCCTCTTCTTTTTCTCACTATATGTGAGAGCTTTGCCTTTGCTTAATGAAGATGCTTCTTCTTGACCCATCTTGCGTGATATTTCAAATGCCACTATCTTGCCAATGACTATGGTCGGGGTCATGGTGCTCAAGTCCTCCATGCTGTGAAGGATGGTGATGATGCTTGCATATTTCTTTTGTGGTAGCACGGAGATGATCTGCCTCACGATATCCGTATCGAATCTAATTTATGTATGACGAGGAGAGCTATGACTTCATTAATCTTAAGATGTGTTGGCTCAGTCTACCAAAAAAGTACTTAGAGTAAGATGTGTATGCATGGGTTTATAGGGTAAAATATGCACCGCCTGGACTGCACCATGTTTTAATGAAAAGATTCATGTATGATGAGATGTCTATGACATGGCAAAAATAATGGTGTTATACTATTATCATTCTTCAATTACAAATGGGTTACAAACTGTGGCAGCATAAAATGAGGAATTAAGTAGTGGTAATCATCTGATAAAACAAGTAAAGAAGAGGAATGAAAGCGCACACAGGAAGCATACATAAGAAAAAGAGTAAAATGCACCATAGGTCCATTAACTTTTGGAGTGATGTCATCTGGGTTCATCAACTCTCAAAGTGCATTTTTGAGTCCCTAAACTTTCTATCTTGTGCACTGCTGGTCCATACCAGTTTGGGAGCTTGGTATTTTTTCATTGAGCCCCTTCCCTTCTATAACTCTCTTTCAAAATAGCCCCCACAAAGAGAACGTGAGAGGATCAGCGGTTGCAGTCGTCGCCTGAGAGGCCCCGCGTGCACTGCGCCTTGCTGTAGATGTTCACGAAGGGTGTCACCGTGGCCAAGCTGACCGCGAACATCCACAGGGATGCGTACGCCGCCCTCTCAGTGACCTTGCCCATAAGTGTGCCGAGCCGCGCCGTGAACTGCTCCTGCTGCGTTGCGTTCTGCCAGTTCACCAAGGAGATCACCATTGACGCTCGAAGAAGCTCTCGATGAAGTGCCGCAGCTGGCACGCGTCGTAGATGAGTATAGTGCTCTTCTGGCCAGGGCACACTCTGGCCATGTCCTGCGTCGAAACATCAAGGCACGTGCGGCAGTCTGACGCGTTCACGTCGGCGTGGCACTATGCGAGGCCGTACGCCTAGTCGGGCGCGGTGCCGGTGGTGTTCGTGGCGAACCCTGTGGACACGGTGGCGGCGGCGGGGAGCGATGCGAGGACGTTGAGATTGGCCTGGAACGTTCTGTCGCGCGTTCGTGTTGTTCGGACAGACTGTGTAGAATGGGTTGTCAGTGTTGGCTATTGTTGCGAGGACGTTGAGATTGGCCTTGGGAGGCTCTACGTGGCCGCCTGCTTGCTTAGCTAGCGGCGGCCTGGCTGACGACGTGGCTGGCCTCGCATGCCGCCGCGCTTCGCTTCGGCGACGGTGTGGCAGCGTGGTGGGTGCCGCGCGGCGTGACCACCGATCTGAGTTCGAGTTTCGCCTTGCGCGCGCGCCGGATGGTTCGCTTCGCCCAAAGCACGACGGGGCTACAGTGAGACCACCGATCGTTCTCTCTCTGTTGGGGCTATTTTGAAAGAGAATTATAGAAGGGAAGGGGCTCAATGAAAAAATACCAAGCTCCCGAACCGATATAGACTTACGGTGCACAACATAAAAAGTTTAGGGAGTAAAGTAGTTCACCATTAATAATTAGAGAGTTATATAGACTTTTTTCTTCTTTAAACTCAGACAAGGTCCTCCCAAAGGTATGCCCCCAATGAAAACTGAAACAGAAATGATATACAAACATGGAATTTTCTCTCTTCTTCCCTCCGTTCTGCTGACACCGCGCAATGCACGCACGCGTCCTCTGATCCCGCCCGCGCCGTCGCTATGTCCAAGCGAAGCGACATGTTCTCTGACGCACGCAAGCACGTGTTCTTTGACGCCGCGCAACGTGCAGCTCGGTCTATAGCGGATCTGGCTCCAATAGCCTCTCCTCCTCCTCTGCTTTTTCCTTTCATAGAAAAAAATTATTTTTTGTAATATATAGATCTGTGATCTTGTGATTTATGATTATGATCTGTGATCATGTGATTTATGATTATTTAAGAAGGCTGGAAACTACGTAAAAACACAAGGTCAAACTGAAAAACACAAATTCGGCAGGGCTATGCACGCACATAACTCTGCTCTTTCCTTTCCGAAGAGAAAACTGGTCAGTCCGATTCAGAGCTCCGCCGCGCGTGTCAGCCGATGGAGGAGCTGCAGGCTGCCGTGACGGCGCACCTGGACCAGGTGTCGGGCCTCGTGCAGGCGCTCTCCTCCGAGCTCCGCCGCGGCATGGGGCCCGCCGCTGACAACCTGCGCGGCTTCATCCGCGCCGTCGACTGGACGGTATTCTCTCCGGATCCCCTAATAGGAGTTAGGAGATCGCAACCGGATCACCAAGACCTTGCTTTCTTTCCTCTCTCACTCACTTCCAGAGCTGACAAATATCGTGCGATGCGACTGTGTTGCGCTTTGAATGCGCTACTGTTTCAGGAACCATGGCTCATATGCTTGATGGCATTCCATGTGGTTCTGCTGCTCACTGCTGTATGGTTCAGGAGGAATGCCAACTTCCAGCTATTCTTGTTATTTCTTGCTTGTGAGTCTTTTGTTCCTTCTGTTATTACTAATCATGCATTGCATATGCCAAGTACATCGTTGCTGAGGGAAAGAGTATACGATTCTGTCCGCATTCCACAGCAAGAATTGCCCGATGCCGATAAGTTTGTAGTTTCAAGTTTCGTCAGGACAATTTGTAATCCAGGACGGCGCGCTCTGCCACGGCCACGGGGACGGGGACGGGGGCGACGCGTTCGGCTCCTCGCTTTTCTTCTGGCCGTTCTTGCCGCTCTTCTGGCCGCCGTTCCGGGTCCCGGGCGGCGGCGCCGGCGGGACGGTGTCGTTCCCGTGGCCGTTCCCGGTGCCGGACTGGCTCGTGCCGTTCCTGCGGCCACCGTTCTTGCCATTCCCGCTCTACGAGCCGGCGCCATCGCCACCGCCGCCGTTCTACCGCTTCCCGCCTTCCCAAGAAGCGGCCTGGAGTCGTTTAACAAGAAGAGCTAGGTGGTCCTCGCCTGCGTGCCTCGTCCTGGCGCGGCCCTCGCCTGCGCGCACCGCCAGGACCGTGGCCCCCCTCGCCACCTGACCCCGACCCCGGTGGCCATCGACATTGCTGCTGCCTGCTCCGGCCTTGGCGTCCGCCGATTTGCTAGTGTCCAGAAGACCCGAGCTAGCTCCTTGGCGTCTCCTCGGGCCTGGAGGAAGCTTCTACGGATCTTGCTTGCAAGGTGTTCGAGGTTTTGCGGCAACAACATCCAGGCAAGGCCCACCGGTGATTTCCTGATCCCCTCCGGCTGGCCATGGGTTCAGCATCGGAATTAGCCTCCCGGATGGACTTTGATCTTGGGCTGCAATTCCAAGATGAGGTCCGCCGGCTCTACAAATCTCTGGTACACCATCCTCACCACTCCCCCGATGGCTCGTTCTTCCTTCTTGTCACCTTTCGGCGTCACTTGTTTCGTTTAACAGAAGATTTAGTTTCTCTGGCTTTACAATCTTGTTTGGGAGTCCGTGCTTTGGATTTCCATGTGACTTTTCTGAGCAATAATCATTTTCGGTTCTCGGTCTTTTCCAAACAAGTCGGATTCCATGTGTATAGACTTCGTAGAGTGATCACCTCTACCTTTGATCTATACTTCCACCTATGGAACAGTGGCACACCTCATTGGGAGCGTGAGAAACGTGCCTGGGAAGAAGAGCAGGAGAAAGAATGGACAAAAGTACTCTTTAAGAGATCCAAAAGGGAAGCTGTAAAGGCCTCCAAACCTCAAAAAAGAGTTAGTTTTGCTAAGAATTTGGCCGATCATTCTCCCCCTAAGCACTCTCCGCAATCGTCAATTTGTTTTGGTGCTTTCTCTGCTCCTATCAAAGAATCCACAAATCTTCTGTTTGGGAATACCAAATTTCAAATTGGCGGAGCCCATGATCGTGTTCTTCGGCCTGATTGCATGCAGCGTCCTCCCTGCATGCAGCAGCCTGGAGAGGATTACACGCAATGTCCTCCTTGCATGCAGCGGCCTGGAGAGATTTCCGCGGCTGTTTCGGAAGATTCCCTCAATCAGCGCGGGACTATGGCCCTCTTTTCAAATTCCAAATCTGCTGTCTCTGGGCCTTTTTGCTCCCGTTGCTCAAGTTTGTGCCATATTAGCTCCAATTGTCCCTCTCGTATCCGATGCTGGAAATGCTCTAATTGGGGACATACTAGAAAGCATTGCCGGTCACGTACCCGGCCCAATTAGGTCTGGCAACGAAAGTTTGACTGCACCAAAAATTTTGTTACGAATACTGCTCTCCACCTGGTTTGGAAACCGAAAATCCCAAAAGGCAAGGAAATTGAGCTGAACCTCAATTCTCGCGTGGATCCCCCGAACCCTTCGCCTAACCAACCAGTTCAGCAAGGTCAGCATGCCCAGCAGGGCCCAGTGCAGCAACACCCAGGTCTGCAGCAGAATCAGCAGCTAGATGTGGACAACATGGAAGCAGATGAAGCTGATGATGAGTGGCCAGCATGGAACCCTGCCGTGTTTGCTGCTGACAATGGTCAGGTGCTCCATCAGCATCCTCAGTTTCCTCAGGATCACCTTGATCTCGAGCTGTCAGGATCCTCTATGAGGTTTTTACATGGTGATGGGACAGACATCTCCCTTGACCGTGTACTGGAGGGTATTTCAGTTGAGGATGGTAATTCCTCGTCCAGTGATGCAAGCTTCACTTTGGTGGACAGAGCAAGGTTTGCTGCTGCACAGAAGAGGTGCACCAACATCTTGATTTTCAACAGAAAAGACATGCCTGATGAAGTATTCCACAGGGCCTCATTTTCTCAGGCCAATGACAACATGGGACCCATTGTGATTGACAGAGCTGTTCTGCAACCATCCCTCAACCTGTCCTCGCCAACGCCCGCTATCACAGGCATGGAGATTGTCCCCTGGAAGCCGGTCCTGCCTGCTCTAGCTCTCCAGCTATGGCCATCTGTTGTGGCGAGTCGTCGGGCAGCATGTGCTCAGCCAAGGTCCTCCTCTGTTATCATCCTGCCTGATCCTCGTGTCGAGCAAGTCCCAGCTACTTCTGGCTCGTCAGGTTTTGAATTTCAAAGTGAGCAAATGCAGCCTAGTCCATGTGGTGAAGCAGGCATGAGAGTATACCAACGTCGGAGGACTGCCATGCTCTCCCTGCCTGTGGCCTCGAGTAACACAATCTCGCCAGTGGTGGAAGGCTCTGTTAGTCGCAGCACAAGGATGAACAACAACATGTCTCTACCCAATGTCTCTAGTAATCCTGCTACTCTGCTGGTGGACAGTACTGTGAGACGCAGCACAAGACTTAGTGACAAGGATGGCTTCCATGAGGTCAGGTTGGCTGGAAATCCATGCAAGAAGAGAAAGACATGTCCAGTACTGCTTGTCGAGCCTACGGGTCAAATTGGGCCAATACCAATTGATATCCTGCAGGGCTGGGGTATCAATTGTGGAGTAGCTCCTGGAGAGTTATCCCAAGAAGTGCTGATGCAGGCGCCCTCTTCCAATCCGGTGGCCAATGATGAATCCTCTGATTAAGTTATCGCTAAGTGCTATGATCGTAAACTTTTGTAGAACGCCTGGGGCGGCAGTTTACTCATTTTATCTTGTTACAGTCGTGTGGCCAGATTTTAAGTGTGTCCTTTGCTTTAATGTTACTATCTTTCCCTCTTTGGACACTACTATCAATCTTAGCATTTTCACTTATCTGGCTTCTACTTCTCTGTTGATCTTCATCCTCTCGATCAATATACCATCTGAAATGCAGCCCATCCTGATTATGCTAGTCATATCAGGAACTACCGTCTCCCTTTTATTGTTACATAATGGGTACACGTAACTGGACTATTTTTGTGCTGGAATGTTCGTGGGATCAATGCCACAGAGAAATGGGATGCGGTACGTGATAAAATCGAAGAGAGTGCTAGCTCAGTAATATGTTTGCAAGAAACGAAGAAAGAAACCTTTGATATATCCTTTATCAGAAAATTTGCACCGCGGCGTTTTGACCATTTTGATTATGTACCCTCGGTAGGAGCATCTGGGGGTATCCTTGTTCTCTGGAACAGTGCATTTTTTTCAGGCATAGTCACTGATAAACAGAGCTTTGGTCTCACAGTTAGCTTCACTTCGACTCACACCAGCGAGACCTGGAAACTAACCACAGTCTATGGACCATGTAATGATCCTGCCCGCTCAGAGTTTGTCAGCTGGTTTCGTAGTCATGCTATATCTGACTCAGAGAATTGGATCTTCCTGGGAGATTTTAATTTCTACCGCTCTCTGAATAACCGAAATAGACCCAGTGGCAATCTTGCTGACACTTTTATTTTCAATGATGCAATTGGGCATCTTGGTTTAGTTGAGCTACCTTTGAAGGGTTGGCATTCACTTGGAGCAATATGCAATCCGATCCGTTGCTTGAGCAACTTGATTGGTTCTTCACGTCCACCAACTGGACCATCGACTTCCCCAACACAGAGGTCCTCCCTTTAGCAAAGATCACTTCGGATCATATTCCATGCAAGGTGGTGATTAGCACAAAAATTCCTAGAGCTAATCTATTCCGTTTTGAGAATTTCTGGGCAGAGCAAGATGATTTCCTAGACACAGTATATGACTCGTGGACCTCTATGCCAGCTAACAGTGATGCTGCTCGTACCATCTCTTCCAAATTCAAGGCCCTAAGAGCCAGACTGAAGGACTGGAGCAAGCATTTATCAAATCTAAGAATGCTCATCAGCAACTGCAACCAAGTCATTGGTTTTCTAGATGCTTTGGAGGATATAAGAGGCCTTTTTAATCCAGAAGCAAACCTACGGGCTGTTGTCAAGAAACAACTTCAAATTTGGTTGCGATACAAGAATCTCTACTGGTCAATAGAATAAAGTTGGGCGATGAGTGTACAAAATTCTTCCATGGCATGGCTACTATTTCTTATAGAAGAAATTCCATTGCGCAGATCATGAATGACCAAGGCATTTGGATCCACGACCATGAAGGGAAGGCAGGCCTTCTCTGGAACTCCTTCAGAAATCGCATGGGCACCACGTCATCACCTACTATGCTTTTTGACCTCTCTAGCCTTGTCACGCCAGTGAACGACCTAGATTCTCTTGCTGCCCCAATTCTGCAGGAGGAGGTGGATTTGGTGGTGAAGCGTATGCTGGCTGACAAGGCTCCAGGCCCTGATGATTTTAATGGCCGTTTCCTAAAAAAGTGTTGGCAATTTATCAAAGGTGATTTTTACTCCCTTTGCTCAAAGTTCTTCTCGGGTCAGATTAATCTTGAATGCATCAACACTTCTTATATCACCCTGGTTCCTAAAAAGGACAGTCCAGAGACAGTAAATGATTTTCGCCCCATCTCCCTAATGAACATCTCGCTCAAGGTCATCACCAAGATTCTAGCTGAGAGATTGCAGGCTGTCATCTTGAGAGTTGTTCATCAAAATCAATATGGTTTTATTCGCTCTTGCACGATTCAAGACTGCTTAGCATGGAGTTATGAGTACATTCACCAGTGCCATCAGTCGAAAAGAGAGATCATCATCCTAAAATTAGACTTCGAGAAAGCGATTGATACAGTGGAACATTCAGCTATTATGCAAGTTATGGCTCACATGGGGTCCCACAGAGATGGTTGGATTGGGTTCAAGCCATTTTTTCTTCAGGTTCATCTGCTGTCCTACTCAATGGCGTCCCAGGAAAATTTTTCAAGTGCAAGAGGGGTCCGTCAAGGCAATCCATTGTCGCCCCTCCTCTTTGTTATAGCGGCTGAACTTCTGCAGATTTTAATCAACCGGGCTGCTGCTATGAATTTGCTCAGAGTTCCAATTCCACAACCAACTGGGGATTTTCCAATAGTTCAGTACGCTGACGATACGCTGATGATGTTGCAAGCCGATGCTAGACAGCTGATCTTTCTTAAGGCTTTGTTGCATAGCTTTTCAGAGTCAACCGGGCTTAAAGTTAACTACAGTAAATCACATATGTACTCCATCAACGTCAATGAGGAGAAGATGACCCATCTGGCAAACACATTGGGCTGTGATATTGGTTCTATGCCGTTCACGTATTTGGGTTTGCCCATGGTCACGACCAAGCCACACATTGAGGACTTCACCCCGATGATGGACAGAATAGAGAGGAGGCTCTCTGCGTGCTCCACATGGCTTTCTTACTCGGGTCGCTTGGAAATGGTTAACTCGGCTATAACCCCCATCACCACATATGCTGTGTACCATCAAGCTACCAAAAGGGGTCATTGACAACATCGACAGAGCACGAAAGTGATGCCTTTGGAGAGGTAATGATGCCCAAAAGAAAGGGGGGAATTTAGTTGCATGGGAAGTTGTTATGCAGCCCAAGGAGAAAGGGGGACTGGGAGTTCTTAACCTCAGATTGCAAAATGATGCGCTACTACTCAAACATCTCTTCAAATTCTATAACAAAGTTGACACCCCATGGGTGCACCTTGTGTGGAGCAAATATTATACCACCAAAGTACCCCATGCATCTAGGGAAGTTGGCTCCTTCTGGTGGAAGGATGTTCTTCGTCTCAGCATCATCTTCCGAGGCATTGCCAAGTGTGAGATTGGGGATGGTTCAACAGTCTGTTTCTGGGATGATACGTGGTCTGATGCCGTTCTATCCCAAGAGTTTCCAAGGTTGGCATCCTTTGCAAGTAATGAGAATGCCTCAGTGCTGGAGGTCATGCAAGCAACAGACCTTGATGAACTTTTCTTCCTCCCGCTCTCGCAGCAAGCTTTTGAGGAATATGAAGTCCTACAACTGCATCTACAGAACCTGCCATACGATGCTGATGCCAAGGATTGCTGGCTGCCCACCTGGGGCAATGTGTATACTTCATGGCGTTTCTACTCTTATGTCTTCAGTACCATGGAAGCACATCCAATCTTCAAAGCCATCTGGAAATCTAGATGCACTCCACGCGTGAAATTCTTTGCGTGGCTTGTCCTGGTGGACCGTTTGAATACCAAGTCTATGCTCCAGAGACGACATCTGAACATACAGGATGATAACATCTGTGTCATGTGCAACCGTGGTGAAGAGGAGACCATTGATCACTTATTCTTCGACTGCCCCTTCGCGAAGGAATGTTGGGCAATCATCCATTTTGACTGGAATGACACGCTGCAACTTTCGGATAGATTGGTACAGGCGGGACAGGTTCACAATGTTCCTTTCTTCACGGAGGCAGCCCTGATAGCAGCATGGGAGTTGTGGAAGATGCGCAATGACAAGGTTTTTCAGAGGCGTGATCCAACTCCATCGGCCTGGTTGGCAAACTTTAAAAATCAATGTTTCTTGCAGTCTGTTCGTTTCAAGGATGATCTGCGGTCATCCTTTTGTGTTTGGTTGGATGGTTTTAGTTAATCCCTGTTTGTAAGTACGTTCTACCTTTTATTAATACAAAATCTATCACTGTGGGGATCTCCCCCATAGTCTTTTGCGGTAATTTTTTTTTCTAATCCAGGTTTATTTTGTTTAGCTCTTATGCTTTGGCGCCTTTTGATTCAGACCCTTCCGTGTGAAATGAATGAAGTCAATGGGGAGAAATTGATCTTGACATTGATTTCGATCATATTATTCGGTAATAGGCCAAGAGCAATTTAGATGTTTATACACCAATGTCCAATTTATTAATTTTACTGGCTAGTGCATATCTCACTAACTAAAAAAAAGGGCAGACCCAGTGCGGGTGGCTCCCACATGAGTGGGGTCTGGGGAAGGGAAAAACCAAGGCAAGCCTTCCCCTTGCAAAATCTGCGGAGAGGCTGCTTCGAACCCGCGACCTGGTGACTCAGTGAGACAGCTCTCACCACTGCACCAGGCCTGCCCTTCAACACTGACACACTTATCAAAAAAATTCCCTACCATTTTGCAATTGGATGGTTGCTAGTGTGTGCTCCTTAATCCACATCATTTTCTTACAGTCTCATTTAGAGTTCTAATGCTACAATGGCATGAATTATTTCTGTTTTTGGATGAAGAAACCAATGATGGTATGAATATTATCTCACAGTATCTTTCAACACTAAATTATAGTGAGATTTCGAAGATTGGGAATTTGGAACCTCATATTTTGATTTGCTTCGGTTCTGATCAGGTTCATGGTTTACCTATGCAGATTCAGGAGTGTATCTAGCTGAAAGAATGAACAGATACCTGGGAGAGCACTGGAAGAGCTTTACCAGTAGGAATTATTTTGACCGTTCTGGAGTTTTCATCTCTGTCGTCTGGTCTGGGCCCCTTATCTTCATATCTATTGTCAGTGTGGTTAGTAAAAATCTGGCTTACCCTGATGTAAAGGTTTCTGTTCATTACATTCAGCTGTTTATTTGCAATTTAGCTTATATATGTTGCTTATCTTTCTACTCTTTGATCATTCCAGATTAGCAGCCTCATTGCATTATGTCGATTGATGGTGAAATGGAAGAGAGCAGAACTTAGGCACCGGGCTCGACTTGCTCGTGACAAGAAGGATTGAGAGAAGAGAAAAAAAATCCTTATCTATGGGACAATCGAATGATTTAGTGATGTTGAACATTTCTAAAGTTTGTGTGTTGCTTCTCAGAAGGGCACTCAAGAATTAAGTGTTGGAAATCCTGGATAAGCGAGGAGTGTCTACAGCTATTGTCCTTGCTGATCATGAATTCCTGTAGCAGCTGGGCTTACTTCATCAAAATATAGATATGGTATCTGTCTCTATCTTGTTTTACATTGTAGATGCAAACATGGATGTAATCTTGATTGAAATTGCCAAAAATTTTAGAACAAAGTCTTGCTTTTTTGTTTCCCATCACAAATATGAAATATGAGACTTTTTGGTTGTCTGATATGAAGTCAAGAATTCGAAACTTTGACTATATAAGTTCCTGACCTGAGTCGTTTTTAGCGAGATGCACAGAGCTGCATGTATGTGTCATGAGCGTTGGGTGGCACGTCTATAGAAGTCGGCCTTCGGGATGTTTTTTTTGGCCTTAGCGCGCGCGCGAGAGAGAGAGAGAGAGAGTTTAGGGCATTTTTTCTGTTACCGAATGTTGCATACATACATGTATTAATGGCTTACAAGGATTTGATTTGACGTGTTACATATGAAACAAATCTGTGTTAGCACAGTGTTCACAATTTCTTCAGCTTCCTAGGTAACAGAGAATTAATAAACCTTTTCCTGAAGAAGAAAAAACCTAGGGCCCCAAGCAACGGCCAAGAGGTTACAAGAGCAATGTAAGCAAGCAACCAGACTGACCTCCCCTGGGATCGACTGAGTTGGTTTATGGATTTCTTAACAGGACCAATGGCTTCACAGATTTCGTTCGCATATGGCTCTTCTCGCTGTTCTTGAGATCCTCCATGGGCTCGAACAGTCATCACATTCCCTTCTGAGCTGTTTTTATCATCCACCCAACTGTCACTCTCATTTTGTATTGCTCCGGTGTTTTGATTCTGTTGTACGTGTTGGACAACCATGCTATCATTGAGTTCAATTTCACCAAAAATCTTGTTATGCAAGGATTCACCGTTGTTAGGACCATCATTTGTTACTGCAGCTACCATTCCATCTTCCATGAAATTCACATATGGGCTCTTGTCAATTGATGATTCCAACGATGAGTGCAAATCATGCTCTTGTGCCTGCATTCAACTATTACATGTTACATTATGTTAACCAGAGCTGATATGTGAACTAGCAAGCACCACCTTCTGCCGATGCATGTAGGGGCCATCATGCAGAGCACAGAGGAACTCGGAAACAGGCCGTACCCACCTGTCAAGCATTTAGATAGATACAGGCTGAACGTCAATCACTATTGGCTGATCAAAAAGACCGAAGTCACATCTTAAGTTAAAATGGAGACGCAAGGGCAAAAACCGACTAATTGATGCTAAACATTTTTGCCAAATAACTTACCAAAGCTTTCTAGCAGTTAGGCCTTCAAAGAAAGCAAGATGTCCGCCATTAGGTGTAGTTGCCAATACAATGTTTTTGTTTGCCCTAAATCAGAGCATGCATAGGGGCCTTATCAACACATTAAACCAAAAAAACATTCAGAATAGTGAGCTTTCATTGTATGTTTACCTGCATTCATCCCAGGGAATGGCCTCCCTTGTGCAGAGGGGGTCATCTAAGGCACTGATACAAAGCAGGGGAACTGACACATTGCTGATATAATTTGCACTGCTGCACTTGCGGTAGAATGTGTCCACTGTCTGAAAGGAGCTAGTCACTACATGGAATTCACTCTTAAAAATTATACCACCCCTAAATTACAACAACACCAGTACGATTTTAAATAGCACTATCTAACTGAATCATAAGTCCCATGATTATTATTGAGTTACATTGATAAGTTCTGTAGGTCATGAATTTTCTGTTGGAACTTGGAGCCCAAACCAAATCCCAATTATATGATTCATGTTCAAGTAACCTGTATTCTATAAAGTATAAATACTCTACAAATAAAATTGGTATGCTAGAACTGGCTGAAATTCCTCATACATCTTTCTCATCTCGACAGTAACAAAGTGTTGCTGTGCCATCAGTCCAGAACTAAGGTGTCCAATTTAATATTTTCCCATGCTGAGCTGCAAATTCCAAGGCTGCAATCCTTGATGCTGCCACAAGTCCTCTAACAATAAATGTAACCCTTGCTTCTACTGTCACTATCAGTAGCAAGTGTTTCTGGTTTCCTTTGGTTTATTAAGAGCTGAAACCAAACACATGTAGTCCATGCTACTAGTGAGGCCACAAAATACCATATGATAACCTCACTTTTGTAACTGTCTGCCCTGGATGCTGGATTCAATCAAGCAAGAGGCTTTTCCTTCAGGTCTTAGCCTTTTCCTGGTAGTTTACTATTTGTCAAGTGGTGTGTCTGTTAGCCTAAAAGCCTGGTGTGTGTGGGGTGTCTGGGAGCGGATGGATTTGCCCCTCCCTTTGTATTTTATCCCTCTCTTAATGAAATGACACACAGCTCTCCTCTGTTGTTTGAGAAAAAAAATCAAGCGAGAGGCTCAAGTGTGCAACATGAGATTGAGCAGACCATTACATGCTTTCGATATGGAGTCATCTGATTGTTAACAATGGTTCACTGTTTAAACTATAGTGCCTAAATTTTGAGTGCTCTTGGATTTTTCTCTCTAATCTTTCGATGTGACTGCTCTCTCTCTCTCTCTCTCTCTGTGTGTTTTGTGATAGCACTGTCGCGTCAAATTTCTTCAACTTTTGCATTTTCAATGGTCACCAGCCAGTTTCCCAATTCTCAAAGTCAACGAGATGCTGTTTTGATGAAAATATTTTAGAATCGCATCCACATATTTGAAAGAGGTGCGATGTTATGGAATTATCAATTTATCATGGATAATCTAATTCCATCATGTAAGCTACATATTTTAGGCAGCATTTTGGTCAAAAAGAATATGTTTTGGCTGGACACACTCTACTGTGTCAGTCCATTCTAATGGAAAGAGTAGTCCACAAGCGAAACAATTGTGGTTTTGCTTTATTCCATTTAATTTCCAATGGAATAAAAAATGTAGTTATCGTTTTGCTTTATTCCATTTAATTTCCAATGGAATAAAAAATGTAGTTACCACTGATGAGCAAAGAGAGCAGGAAAACTGTAACCAATAATTTTAGACAGTCCAAAATATGAATACTTTGCTGATTGTGCAAAAGAAGATGGTGCAGATTTAGCATTAGAAAGAATACCTCATATTTCGCAACAACACAAGTGGCATGGCGGTCAAATTCCCGGATAGAGTGTGACTGATGAAAGAAAGAAAAAAAGCGGGTAAGCACAACATGTCGTATAACCAGCTAATTTATTGAAATATAGTCAAATTGCTTATTAAACGGACTACATCTGTTGTTTTTTAATGCAAACTCAACACATAAACATGATAAGGACTGCATGACTATGAAAATACAGACCAACAATGCTATCTTACCGATGTAATAGCTTCCCAGTTAGCAAGTCGTGCCAAGACTGGTTGATGTCTGTAAAAGTAACACAGTTGAAAAAGAGTATGGAACAGAAGTAGAATCTATTATATTGCTCAGTTGCATTATTAGACAAAGAAAGATCTGCTAAGTTCAAAATGGTGGCGATCTTGGAAGGAGAGTAATTAGTAAAGAGTAAGGTTCACAAGATTGCATGGGAAAGGGCTTAACAAGTACATACAGTTTTGCATATCCTTTGAGACCAATCGCAAGAGCTCTATCATAACATCGCTGCACAAGCTTGCGTGAAATAAATCTGTTGGTCACCTGCATAATTGCAGTGATATAACAATATACTATGTATAATCAGTAATAATCAAAGTGTTGCATTGCGAAATGGAAGTGATAGAAGAGCATCATTTGTAATTTGTTAGCTAAGACACTGAGGAAAGATGATTAGGCACAGAAACTGAAGTGACAGTATTTGAAACCACAGGTGTGGTACAATTGATATGCAAATCAAAGTATTTCTGCATAAAAGCACAATTTAAAATCAGAAAAAGCTGCAAACCCTCTGCTAAATTAATTAACTATAGTCACTAACCAGCAGATCCCAGGGAGAACAAATAGATGCAGCACCAGCTACAGGTGTATTTTCACCTTCTTCTCCAAGATACTTGACCTAAATGGGCGATATATACGAAAATTTCAGAAGTGACCTTAAACTATTAAGTAACAGCTGCAGTAATTTTTTCACAGGGTGGGAAATGGGAAGAAAAACTAAACCCACCACAATATTGGCACCAATGCTTGTCCCAACAGTGAATAGTGGAGCCTTCGGATACTCTTGATGAAGGAAATTAACGACTTCACGCATATCTTCTGTCCACCCAGCATTGTAAAAGCAATCTGACTGCCAACAGAAAAAAAGGTAACAATAGGCAGCTAAACCTTGTATCAGCAACTAATGTTGGTGACGATCCTTCTGGTGTTAGCATGTGTTTTTAAGGTTAACTAACTTACAAAAAATTCTTGGTTTTGAATAGAAAATCGTGTCTTATCATAAGTTTTGATCTATTGTAGAACTTACTGTTATGGAGATGCCACCCAGACCCCTGTGGTTGCTTACAACAACATTCCATCCTTTGATTGCCATAGAAAAGACCAAGTGCTTCACATACTGCAACCCACCCCCCGCATCTTGTTTAGAATAAATCATAAAGGTAGCTAAAATGAAACAGGGATTATACAATCAACTTCCAGTTCTTGTTTAAACTGATCGACTTACAGCAGCACTAGAATCACTAGTTAATCCAGGTATCACAACAAGAAGGGGTATTGAATCATCCTTAGAAATGGTTCCATCAGAAGTGCCAACATCTCCAGCTGCAACTTAGCACCAAAAGGAAAAGGTTAATCATCCATTTGCTAGCTAATCAATCTTAAACTATCTAAACTTGCATAACCTTCAAGATCAGAGGCTAGTAACCAATCTAAGGCAATGGTCCCACCGTCACGAACAGTGTACAGCTGCCTGCAATATAAATAGTCGAATCACTGTGAAAGATAACCATAGTCATAAAACTCTATAGCATTGCAGTTTTTATCTTGTACTGTAAGGTCCCAATTTAAAAATAAGCAGGTTTCTCCGCCATGTATCAAGCTGATATGTATGGCCACAAATTGCAGACTACTGAAATGGAACAATGAGAGTCAAACATTTTCTGGATATATGAAAAACTAATTTTGCCTCCCTACATACATAATTTGTTCACACTTATGTAATACTCCCTCCGTGCCAAATTATAGTTCTTTAACTCTGTCTTAAGTCAAACTAACTTAAAAAATACCATGAAATTAGTTTCATTAAATTATAATGTAAAATGTCTTGATATGGCATTTATTTGAATATATATTTTCGAAAAAAATTGGTCGAAATTAGGGCAGTCCCAATGCTAGTTTCTATACCTATTAATTTCACTACATGTAAAAACCATGGTCCCAATGAATAGTTTCTATTGAACAATTTTTTATCCAATCACATTCATTCTCTCTCCATTCTCTACCAATCACATCCCTTCATGTCTTAGTTCTCGTGTAGACATGGTTTCTAACTTAGACCCGTTTTGTATGATTTTGCTCTCTCTCTTCAATAACTACCTTGCCACATCAGCAAAACGCTTAGGTGGCAGTACAATTAATGTCCATAGAAACTATGGTGGTTTGTGCATCGGGAGTGCCCTTAAAGAAGTTTAACTTAGGATAAAGTTAATGTGAACTTTAATTTGGACCAGATGGAGTACTAACTTTTTTTGGACTTTGTGAACACAGAATTGCATAGCCAAAATTGAATTATCATGTGCCCATTCACATAGTTGCGTCAGCTTAATAATATCAATAATGACAGTGATTTACTATTTTACTCCAACCTCCGATAGGTGAATGAAGGTGGCCTGCCAGATATGCTCAGGAACAACGTCTGCAAATGAGGACTCGCTAACCACGGCGTCGCCAGGTACCTACGCAACGCAACATTGGGGGAAGAAAAGTCATAAAGCAAATTTTCTCCGGAAGAGGGAGGCAGAGCAGATGTCTCATGAGTCATGATAGCATATATTAGCATCCCACACATGCGCACCTGCCGTGCAGTGAGCGGCACTTGGAGGCGACCCGGTGGTACACTTGAGACTCGGGGTGGAAGGTAAGCGAGACGCGGCCGCCGCGGAGGCCGCGGAGGAGGTCGCCGAGGAAGTGGAGCTCCAGGAACCTGTACAGGAGCACCGCGGCGACGGCGAGCGCCGCGAGGGCGTAGCGCGTCCACGGCACCAGCGCCGCCGCGCGGAGAAGCAGCTCGCCCGCCGACTCGCCGGCGCTGGAGGCCGCAGCCTCCATCAGTTGGGGTTGGGGAGGGATCGACACGGAAAGGTCGTCACCGATTGAGGAGGTCGATCTCGCCGCTGCGCTGCGGTTGGGGAAGCGATGGGCAGACACGTGAACCGTTTCGTCGTCGCTGAAGCCTGAATGGACGCGCAAGCGGCAAGCCTGTGCGAGACTGCGGGAGCGCGTGCGACACACACGAGTGACGAGACATCGTGTAACGTGTTTTAGGCTGTGCGATGCTACTAAACTTTTTTTATTAAAATTATAATTATACTAAATAACACCAAATCCAATATTAAAGTGACATTTAATTTAAATTTAAAAAACAAAGTTCGTGAAATTAACACAGTCACGGAGAGCGCGACGTCGCAGGCTCACAAAACTCTATTATATAGATCTTCCCGTGATGTGGATAAGATAATGTTTTATATCGGCACGAAGAAATCTCCGATATCCATTTATTTCGTGCGCTAATAAATCCACGAATAAGTTCCGCCGCATCTTCATACCATCCTGCACACAGAGTTCGAGTATATATGTAAATATTAGTGCCTGTCATAGGTATTATCATTGCAAACAACAGTACAACCATAGACGCCAGCTGTGACGATCTTTGTGGTACAAATTTTTTTAAGACGAGAAAATATATAATTGTGACCCTTGTCATCCATTCTTAGATAATAAGAACAAGCATCAAGGTTTCTCATGAAGAAGTACCTGAAATCAAAATACTTGTGATAGATAACGATTCCAACTAAGCTATGCTATTTTACTAAACCATGTGCTTCCCTTCCAACCTTTTGCCCTTCTTACCGGGATAACTTGAGCCTAGGAGGTTTGCCTTTGAAGAGCTCGTCCTCGCCACCTAAATTGGTAGATTGAGCCAACTCCAAAGTTTGATCTGAGCAGTTTTGAAGTATTGGGAATCTTCAACTCCATGTACTTGAGAAGATATTGCTCACTATTCTTCTAGTTTAAGAATTAGTATCAGCAAGTATTTTATGGATATTAAACAGAACTCTGCAGTTTTAAAAATACAAAAAATCCATAGCAATGTTTTGCACTGGAAAATACATAACTAAAGTTCTCAATGACACGAGAGAACATACCGATTGACACACAGCGAGAGCAGCTTGAATACCTGAAAGAAAAGAAAATACAAACCCGTCAGACAAATGAGTTTAGCAAAAAAAAAAAAGATGGCAGCAAAGGGCATGCTAACAAGTAGCATAAGTTATATGTGAGAGACTGCATAGCATCTGCATTGAACTTGTTGTCATCTCGCAGCACGTCATAATGTGTAGGATGGCTTGTTCCCTGCAATTTCGCAAGCAGCTAATCTTTAGATGCAATTACAAAATGTCAGACATACCTTGATTCCAGCATAGCTGCACAAGAAGAAATCAAATTCTGTTGTGTGGCAGATATTCCTATCAACTACAGTGCCCGCAAATTCCAGAAACATTTGAGCAAAATCATTGTCAAAAAATGCACTAAAAACAGCAGCATATACGTCTACATTCCTAATCCGGTAGAATATTTCCACTATTGTCCGTCCATTGGTGATCATTTGTGTTGTTTGGGAAGAGCCTTGTGTGGTGCTTCTTCTGGAATACTATGAATCTGATCTTGCCATTGGCGGTAGAATGCTGCTTTCTTGGCTCTTGATTATTTGGATCAAGACTTATGGTAAATTCAGCATCTATACACATAATTGTTGTACAATACAGGTCAATATTCAGAAAGTGAAAAAAATTGATTATAGAAAAGACAAAGACAGAAGGATTAGAGTATGGAATACCATCCTTTGCCTCCTTAACCTTCTCAAGTTCTTTTCGTGCAGTAATTCGACATGAGTATGCTTTAATATAGCGATCATCCAGATTCAGAGCTTCAGTGCAATCGTCCTCTCCCTCCATGAATCTGATGAATTCCAAATCTATAATATAAGATTTCACCATAAACCAGATCTTGGAAACATAACTTCAAGGTTCCACAGGACACATCAGATAGGTAAAATATATCATATACAACCAAAACATGCCTCTTCAGTTTGTGGCTAGTTGCCTACACTGTAACAATGTGACTGATACATCGAACTTCTAAGGTTAACAATGATGTTTGATCCTGAATCAAATGTTTTTCAGGTTTTTACTATCCAGTGTGGACACCTTCCTCTTTTGGTAATTCTATTCCTTTAATCGAAAGAAGTCCTAAGTCATTTTCATGCCTAAAAACTTAGAATATTACACAACGTCCATCTAGCTGACTCTAAATATCAAGTTATTTTACAGCAGATCAGTATGCCATAGAAACTGTTTAACTCTTTTTTTACTTACAAAGCTAATGTAGTTAGTGTGAGTGGTTGACAACCTAAAATTTAAATATCAGCTAGTGTGTGATATACTGATTTTCCACATTATGCCATGCAGATGGAGAGCGTGGATAAGGAATTGAGGACATCTAGGTTATCAGAGTAGTTGAACAAGCATGCCGCAGAGTCTGTCATTTAGTAGCCAAAACTGGGAGTATACAATCTCTTATTGTTTGTACTGGTTGATGTATCTGAAGATCAGGAGCTCGGATTAGCTAAGATGGGAAATGTGTTATAGGAAACAGATGGACTGTGAATTTGCGGTTTGGCTTTTGGAAGGAACATAAGAGATGGAAATAACGGGAAGCAATGCTGTTTCAATACTACTGTGTGCATTATAATGAAAGTTGCCTAAATTGAAATCCCAATGAAGTAGCGGAGTAGGGGATGGGAGTAACAGCTTAAAGGTTTGAAGCCAATGATTGAGAAGCATGTAAGTGACAATGCTTAAATGGAGTATGCAGTAAAAAACACATCATCCTGTACAGTTTTCTACAAGAAGAGCAAAAGCTATATATAAAAACATATCATCGTGTACAATTTTCTGCTCCAATCTTTGTATTCTAGAAATAAGTGCAGCTTCAATGACCTGAACACATAGAAATCATGATGAAAGATCAGTTCATATTTTCAACCGACACTTTAAATTTACATAGTACATTTACCCGGGCTAACGCTACGGGCCACATTAATGTCAAACTTAATTGATATTTATTCACAAAATAGAACAATTAAGCAAATGCATCAATTCCTGTCCCTCAAGAGCAGGCCAGATTAATTGTTCAGGCCACAATGAGCGAGCTGAGATCACTTTAGCAAAAACAACAGAATTTCGAATATGAGTCCTTACTGATACAATTCTACTAGTGCTTATGCTAGTACTACAAGTTTCCAGCGTAAAATATTCTCAGAGCAGTAACATTTTATCCAAAGAGTACCAAATTCTCCTAACATCAGCTGGTCCTAAACTTTGCATACATTGTTGACTCAAAACCATTGTTAGCCCTCTCTGAAGCTGAACCATCTAAAGTTATAGAAACAAAGAGTGTACCTCCATAAGTACATTTTTACTGCATTTAAAAGATGATATGTTGCACTCACGATGCCTCTGTGGGCTGGGAGAATATTGAAACCTGTAAGGCTCGAACAATGAAGGTGTCTTTGTTGCATATAGTCTACAATCAATAAAGAAAAGGTAAACATACAAGGCTCTAATAAAATACAGATGTGTCACCATAGATAATAGCTACTTTCATCGCACAATCTGTTATCTGCTACTTCAAGTTGCAAGCAATACAAGGTTCCATAAAAGAGGATAATTAGGCAGCATATATTCGAAACAGAAAATCATCTCTCCAGTTTAACAGTGTTCGTGTCCATGTTCATCATCTGATGAGCTGCTTCACCAGTCTCCTGACCTCGGCAGAAGAGTGCTTGCGCAGACCATTCATCTGTCGCCCGATGTCAGTCTCTAGCACGAACATGAACATAATCTTCAAAACCTTACCCTTCACATGGCAGTTGCTGCTGCTCATCTGAAACAAGCAAGCAAACAGATTGGCCCACCCATTGTGTTAGCACGACCTGCTCCTCCGCACCTTCGGCTTGCGCATCAGCGTCCACCTCCGCCTCCGCCTCCGCCTCCACCACTGGAGAAGCCGGAGCCACCTCGTCTCCGTCCTCCTCATCCACCCCCCCGACGCTAAAGCAGCAACAGGCGGCGGACGCTCGGCGCAGTTGCTATAGCCGGCGGCGGCGGCGTAGAGGCACTCAACGATGCCATCGGCGCAGTCCCACGTGGCCGCGTCCAGCGCAGCATCAACCAGCGCCCACAGGTCGCCCCCAGAGGCCGCAGACGAGCACCGCCGCCATTTCCCTTACTGCGGCGGCGGCGGCCTCGCCTTGTGCCGCCGTCAAATGCTGCCGAGTTAATCCAACCTAGGAAGAACTTTTCCCATGGATAAGGAAGAAGGTGTGGGAGAGGTAGAGGAGAACCGGATCCTCCAGATCCGCCCATCGCCGGCGAACCGGAGGTGGCCGCCGGAGCTGGGGAGCTCGCCGACGCAGGGACCAAGGTGGCAGCGGCGGAAGCTGAGAGGCGTGCCGCTTCTGTCAATAGAGCGGAGAAGAGAACGACGTTTCATTTCTCTCGGTGATCGCTCGCACGACGCCGGGTCCACTGCAGGCGTGAGCTAGCGAAGGTGCGCCGCAAGCGCAGACACGAGCGATTTTTTGCATGCCCAGTCAACAATTCTCTTATGAATATTTTAGTTGTAGAGATAGAGATAGCACTCTTGAGTAGCAGGAGGCGATGGACACTGACGCGCGTACCCTGTGCTCCTCTCTAGAAGGTTTGTAGTTATAGTCACTGCCGTGTGGACCCGATCGGCGAGTGCCACCGTTGACGACCTCACTCCCCACTCTCTCTGGTTCATAACAGGATCTAGAAAACCAACTCAAACAGGGCAAATAAGCATCACAAGCGGGCGCAGAGTACTCCACTGCAGCTTCAATATTCAAACACGCAGCGAACAAGCACCAACCAAGATAGCATACTTGTCATCATTATATTGAAAAAAACATACGCATTAGTGCATTACAAGCTTTAGAACAGGACTGAACATCGTAAAGCAGCATACAGTGGACGATATGTCCCTTTGTCCTGGTCGCTTGGGATTGTTTGGCTGATAAGACATGGCTGAAAGTACTATTGAATGATTTGGTCTGAGAGAAAAATATTATTCGTTGGCTGAAAAAATACGACTTATAAGCCAAACAAACCCAAACAAACAGGGTGTTCTTATATATTCGTCTCAGACCTGTGCCACACAGCCATACTAAAACACACTCTTCTTGATTCTCGTACGCTTCACATAAGGCCCAAGGTGCGTATCGTGCCCTGGCGAGTGCCAGACCCAGGACCATGTAGCTGGTAAGTCTGGCTCGGCACAACCTGGAGAACACCTGGTTGCTCTGCAAAACAATCCAACAAGCAATAAAGCCAGGCTGAGAAGAAGCCTAGGTACAAGAATGAATTGAGGGACTTAAACTAAGATACAGAGTAATGTCTCTTGGATAGTGAGTGCTAGCGTGCGATGACTCTTGATATAGAATGTGCTGTAGAGTGTCCACGACAGGTATTGAGTGATTTTTGACCATATCATGTTCGATATATCTGTTAAAATAAAGTTGTAAACTAGTAAAACATATCGTAAAAAACAAAACATAGCATACATAATTACTCCAATGAATAAACAGATAAAGGTCCCAGTCCATAAGGAAAATGTTGAATTCCCTAATGTATTCTCTAGGACTTCCGTCATCAACAGTAAGAATATCATAATTCACAAATATTCAGTAGCTGTACATCACTATGCCACTACAGGATGAAGTTGTAACTTGTTACCATTCAAATGTCTTCCAAATCTGGGATAACTTTAGTTATAAACTAGACAAAAAAACTTCTTTCTGTTCATTGGAAAGGCAGATGCGACCCTTTTTTAGATCCCTAGAGCTAATAGTTAGCTACTAATAATAAGCTCTTTGGATCCAAATAGGTCTGGCTAATAGTTTAGCTGATTGTTAGTTGAATACCCAACTAACAACTATTTCACTAGTTGGACCAAACTAGCTAATAGCAGCTAATATTAGCTATGAACTATTAGCTAGCTAATTAACTATTAGCGGCTAATTGATCCAAACAGGACCATAATAAGAGCATGCTGCATGCTCCAAAGATTATAGTGGGAGCATTGGAGGACTTAGGTGCCCACAATCTCAGTAAGCTACAACAACAATTCCCCAATTAGATCCCCAATTCCCTAAGTATTTTGTGTGCAAAATAATGTGGAGATGGAATCACTTTGATTAATTATTATCCTACAAAAAATTAAGTCCAAGCATCCAACAATCTACAGCTTGGAGATTTAATACTGCTGCGAATTGAGCAAGGATTTCATACACCATGGGCATCCACTAATTTGATCATTTGGTGCAACTACAAACAATAATAATGATCCCTATGCAAAATTTCCCCCAGTACAGCCGCGGCATGATGAAGCAAGGGCAACCCGAAGCAAGCAGTACAGCTTAATTGCAGGAAAATATTTTAAGGGAGAACTCACCCTTGAGATCCTCGACCTGCTGCGGGGTGAGCTTCGCGGAGAAGCCGCTGGCGGCGGTCTTGTAGTGGTAGAGCACCGCGTCCCTGGCCTTCTGCTCGCTGCCAAACCGAAGAGAGAGAAAAAAAAATCACCGCATCAGAAAACCCACCACGTTCCAAATAAAAAAATGGCATCCCCGGCACAGATTAGAACCGATCGAGCCCCAAATTTCATCCTACCAACAAGCGCGGGCCCGATCGGGTCCCGTTAGACCGATCTGGACGATTACCTGCCGAGGACGGGGGTGAGGGTGCGGAGGTGGAACTCCTCGGGGTCGGCGTCTTCGGGGCGGTCGACGTACACGATGTGCACGGCCGTCTCCTGTGCCGCGGGGGCCGCCTGTTAGTTGATCTCCACCAATAGGCCCAACGGCCTATTGGGCCCTTGTCTTTGCTCCCTGATCAGAGGAGCCCAACCCTAATACGGTTGGTGGGCCCCTGTCGCACATCACATATAAAAGGTAAGGTGGGGATCAGGGCTCGTTCTACGAGGTTCAACGGAGCCGCCGCCATCCCACCCACAGTAAACCTAAACCGATCAAAGTAGTGCTGCCAGCGACGGGAAGCCCACCAACCTCACCGTCGTCAATGCAGCGCCACTAGACGTCATCTCCACCACCCTGGACGCCACCATGTTGCCTACTACACCGCGGCACCGGCGTCCACGTCGCTGCGGTGAAGCACCTCAAGAGCCAAGGAGGCTTTACCCGGATCTACAGTTACATAGAAAAGGTACACAACGATCCTAACAATGGTATCGGAGCCAGTTGCCACTGTGTAACCCTAACCCTAACCGGGTAAAAGCAAACTGAAAAAGAGACCGGGGTGGCGGATGTCACTGTCTACCGGTCACCACCGCCACCGCTGGGAGAAGATGCCGTCTCATTGCCGTTCTCACCGGCGCACGGCAAGAACAGAACAGATCTAGTTCGGATCTAAGGAAAGAAGAAGAAGAGTGGTTTCGGTTTTGGCCGAATTCTAAGACCTAACCCTAATTTTAACCCCATCCCAAATCGGGTTAATCCCAAAAGAAGAAGGGGAAGGGGGAAGAAGGGGAAGGAATCAGTCTCGGGGAAGAACAGTGAACCCTAGCAACTCGATCTCAAATCAAAATAGATCGGGTTGAACCGAACCCTAACCCTAACTCGAATAAAGAAGGGGAAGAGACCCATCCGGATGAACTCCGAAAAGAAAAGAAGATCCAAAAGCAAATCAGAGAAGGGGAAGGTCGGATTCCTAACCCTAACCCTAGATCTAAACTCTAATCCCCACCTCAGGTTTGGATAAGAGAAGAGAAATCCAAATCGGAGAAGGGGGAAAAGAGGAATGGACCTACCTCGCCATGCATCGGGATGGCCCTTCGTCGGCGCGGGAGAAGAAAAGCCGAGCCGGGGGCAGCTGCTCGCCGGGCTCGGCCATGGGGGTGCCACGGCCAGGCCGCTTGATGGCGGCGTGCTCACCCGTTGGGGAGCACGCGCGCCGGCGAGGGGGCCGGCGACGGCGCCATGGTCGCTCCACCACCTTCGCTCGCTCTCGGTGGCTGCTGTCGTTGCGCTGAGGAGAGGAAGGAGAGAGAGAAGAGAGAGAATGGGAGGCGCCGAATGGAATTAGGGTTTTTGGGAGGAGGCTGGCGTCGGCGTTTTGATCACCCGATCTCGCCGCTCGGTCGTCCGATTGAAATGAACGGCACCGAGATTGATCGGGCCGTCGCCGGCCCAGGTGGGCGCGTGCGGCCGCGGCACTTTGCCGCCTCAGGCCCACGTTGCGGCCTGGGTGCGGCCGAGAGCCGCGCAGACCAGTGGGCCGAGCTGGCTTTTGCCGTTTTTGGGCCGACAGAGGCAGATTGAGCCCGTTTTTTTTCTTCTTTTTTCCTTTTCCTGGAAAATCAAAAAATGCAAATGGCCGGGCCGTGTACTGTAGCTGATGGGCTATGTACTGTTCCGAACAGGCCGGGCCAAAATGAATAGAAGAGTATAGAAAGTTTTATTTAATTTCAGAAGCTAATTTGAATGAATTTCAATGGTTTAAAATTTCTGGTAAAATCACACCAACGTGCTATTTTTCCAGAAAGTAGATTAAACAAGAAAAGCTTATGAAAAATAGATAATGAATCTTTTCATGCTTTTCCTCTAGAAATTGATTAATGGCTTAAAGAAAATAGAAAAGAGAATTTTCCTGTGGGTAAAATTCAAGAAATTGAGTATACGTTTTCCGCTGCTAAAGAAAATGTTTATTCTCCAGTTATTTGAACCAATGTGGTATTTAATTGGAGAAAAAGAGATTTGACATGATTATGATGTTGTTATTTTCTGACCAACGTTGTTAATAACAATATCATAATTTTAATGATTTATGCATTAATTTTACTTCTGCCCAACGATGATGTAGAATTAGTGTATAAGAACAATTGTAAATTTTAATGATTTGTGCATTAATTCTATTTCTGTCCAATGGTGATGTAGAATTAGTGTGTAAGAATGTTGTGAAAGTTAAAGATTCATGCATTAATTCTATTTTTGCCCAATGATGATGTAGAATTAGTGTATAAGAATAGTTGTATGTTTTGATTTTGACCAACGTTGGAATTAAGGCATGCAAATGGTGTTATTTTTATGTTAAGAAAAAGTTTGACCTAGTTTTCATCTTGGCTGAGGTGGACTGGGTAGTCACCTCACCATGTCCCACTGATTCTGTGGCACCGGTGAGGGAGACAAAAGAGAATGATGCCGCTTGAGCAACTAAAGAGAGGGATTTTAAATCCCGAAAGATGTCTTATGTCCTTGAGCATAGGAAGTGTGTCACTGCCAACAAGAAATGTTTGGCTGTGATAAAGAATACGATTGAGCCTACAATTATGGGCTCAATTCTAGAGTGTGACACGGTCACCGAGTACCTCGATAGAATAAAGAGTTAGTTCACTGGCTCTTCAAAGACATATGCTACATAGCTGATAAAGTAGCCGGTGACAGAGTGTTACTCTGATAATGTTGGCATAAGAGAGCTCACGATGCGTCGTCGAAATTATGGCACTATCGTTCAGGCCATATTTTATGGGGGAGAATAGAAAGACTTGTTAAGAATGATATTCTTCTTCTATTAGAGCTCTCAGATTTAGAACAATGCAGAGAATGCATAAAAGGAAAGTATGTAAAGAGAATTAAGAAAGATGACAAACGAAGCACAGGAATTTTATAGATTATTCACACAGGCATCTGTGATCATTTTTCTGTAAAGAGTGTGGATGGTTATGATTTGTTCATAACATTCACAAATGATTACTCCCATTATGGTTATATTTATCCAATCAAAGAAAGAACAGAAGTATTGGATAAATTTAAGATATTAAAGATTAAGATAGTCAGGTCTGACCGTGGAGGAGTATTACGGTCGGCATACCCTAAAAGAATGGCATAGTAGCCCAGTATTCTACACCGGGCGAACCTCAGCAGAATAGAGTAGCTAAAAGAACCAATCGTACCCTGATGGATATGGTGTGCAGTATGATAAGTTACTCCACCTTACAGTTGAGCCTGTGGATGGAGGCGATAAAAACCGTTATTCATATTTTCAATAGAGTATCAAAAAAGTCGGTGCCCAAAATACCGTATGAGTTATGAACAGAAAGAGTACCCTCACTAAACCACTTGCGTGTGTGGGGGGGAGCCCTGCTGAGGCTAAAATATTTAACCCAAACATTGTGAAGTTAGATCCCAAAATAGTAAGTTGTCATTTATTTGGTTACCTAGAAAAGTCAAAAGGTTTTTGTTTTCTACTATCCAGAGAGACATACAAAGTTTATGGAAACGAGACACGCTGTCTTCCTAGAGGATGAATTGATGAGGGGGAGCATGGTAGCTCGAGAAATTGACCTTAAAGTGAAGCGGGTGTATGCGCCCACTCCAATGATTCATGAGCCATTTTTCTTACTACCTGCTGTCGCTGCACCGACAGTGCTAGATAATGTGGTGCCAGCACCTGTTGTTATCCCACATGTGGCAACAATGAATGACAATGAGGAACCTGTTCTTCAGGATCCTATAGAACCTATTGCCACACATGAGGGGGAGCAACAACAGCCTCAAACAGAAGATGTGCCAAATGTGAAAGCCCCTAGAAGGTCTCAAAGAGTTAAAAAATCAACTATTCCTGTTGATTATGAAGTGTACAACACTGAGCAATTTCAAATGGAGGATGATCCCACCTTATTTGAAGAAGCCATGAGAAGTGATCATTCATCAAAGTGGCTTGAGGCCATGGAAGCTGAAATAAAATCAATGAATGCTAATAAAGTTTGGGATTTGAAAATAATTCCTAAAGGAGCCAAAACAGTAGGCTGTAAATGGGTCTACAGAACAAAACTTGACTCTCAAGGAAATATAGAGAGATATAAAGCGAGACTTGTGGCAAAAGGCTTTACACAAAGAGAAGGGGTTGATTACAATGAGAACTTTTCTCCAGTCTCATGTAAGGTTTCCTTCAGAATCATAATGGCATTAATGGCACATTACGATTTAGAATTACATCAGATGGATGTAAAGATGGCATTTCTCAACGGAAACTTGGAGGAAAATGTTTACGTGGCACAACTGAAAGGTTTTGTCATGGAAGGAAAAGAACGAGTGGGATGCCGCCTAAAGAAATTCATTTATGGATTAAAACAAGCTTCAAGACAATGGTACTTGAAGTTTGATCAGACAATAAAGAATTTTGGGTTTAAAGAGAATGTTGAGGACAATTGTGTTTATGCAAAGTTTAAGAAAGGAAAGTTTATCTACCTTGTCCTGTATGTGGATGATATCTTACTTGCTAGTAGTGATATCAGTCTACTACTGGAGACAAAGAAGTTTTGTCCTCAAAATTTGATATTAAGGATATTGATGAAGCTTCGTTCGTTCTAGGGATCAAGATTCACCAAGATAGAAGAAAAGGGGTATTAGGACTGTCACAAAAGACATACATAGAAAGAATCTTAAAGAAATTTATTATGCACAAATGTAGTCAAGGGTGATAGATAGGGGGATTTTCAATGCCCCATGTGAAAGGTCGAGATGGCGACTAGAGGGGGGTGAATAGTCATTTTTAAAATTTAATCACGTCGGCTAACCGAAACAAGTGCGGAATTAAAACTATCGGTCTAGCCAAGACTACACCCCTCTATCTATGTTCTTTAGCACCTTTCAAATATACTAATTAAGCAATTAAGGTGCCGGGCTAGCTAGAGCTCACCTAAGCAATTCTAGGAGCAAGGTCACAAAAACCTATGCCACTAGTACTTTAAGCGACAAGAGAGCTCCTACACATGCTAGTAAGCAAAAGCACAAA